AAAGGCCTACGGGCAACAGCGCACCAACCTATGTAAAATCCAAATGTAACTTAATTTGACTTCAATAAAACCATTTCAAAATTGAATTGAACGGAATGAACCTGAGGAAAACGGACGTACTTTCCGGGCGATCTCTTGTCCCACGTTTTAACTGCGCGGCGCTACTCCGTCGCTGTAGTGTTCGGAAAGGGGGTCGGGCTCTCCGTTATGTATCTTGATCAATATCTAAAATTGGACCGTCCCAGGGATTTTGCTACTCCCATGTCTCAACGTTAGGGAGGCCTTGACCGTAAACATTGTATTATCTGGTACGAAAATAACGTTTAAGTGACGAAATTCAACCTTGCAGTGAGATTGTATCCCGATGAAAGGGGCGTTATGGGTTCCACTCAAACAGCTATTTACACATTACTACCCCACAGGAAGCATTCTGATTTACATACCAACTCATTCGGGACAACAGCATTTGCTCAGGTATCGGGAGTGACAGCTTTCTGGAGCTGTTTTGTTTCGGCAGGAGTGTAGGAGCGAGCGCCCGCGACACAGCGGAGTATAATGGGAACCAGTTTGCCTACCTACCAGGCGTTCGCCTCTAATAGATTCGATTAGGAAGCAAAATATAAAGGAAATGGAAGCCTGTGCAGTTTGGTCATCTTTATTGTGTCGCTAGTTCAAAATAAACGGTGGGATTAGTTACAGGAACATGAGTAGATAAGACCAAACTGGTTTTACATTTCACATAAAGCCAGGACTATCTTTACACAAGTTGATTTTTCTTAGGTTACCACATTATAAAAACAGACTTAAACTGGGGCAATGGAATGTTATAACACAGTAAAGCAAGGTTGAAAGTCTCTAAGTCATCCTGTTGAAATGTATTCTAGAATGCAGAGCTGCAAACTTTGAGCACATGGGACTCTGTTCATTAGAAGAAAAATCATAAATACACCACACTCTTGTACAAAAGACTCAATCAGACCTAGAACATTAAAGATAAATAGGCATTGAACAGAATTTCAGCCTAACAGTTTAATATCATGCCAACATTCACATAAGGCTGAAGCATCAAATGGTAACTGAGCCAGTCTTTAAAACTCTAGTTCTCAAACAGTCTCCTTTATTCTTAGACTAAATAACAACACAAATATAAAAAATAACACAAGAGAGTATAAGGAAGCTCTGAAAAGAGTTATCACAGCAATATAAATTGGCTGCTGTCCCTCCACTTTACAGAAATAGTTAAAACCACCACTCAACATAAAAATAAAAGATCATGTAGCGTACAGTTGAATTTGCTCAGCAATAGAAAAATGAAAAATTAAAAGGACAGGTTATGTATAAGTATGAACTTGGTCATTGCAGGCTGGTAGCACAATTTTCCAAATGCATATAACAAAGAAATAGAAGAGGAAATGAAACAGAAAAACATGGCACAAAACAAATAGAACATACCTGAAATATTCGGAAGGTTTTTTGTACAGATTTGATGTACACAACACATTAAGTCTTCGTGACAAAAAAGAAGAAAAAAACCAGTTTAACTTTGGAATGCTTAATTAAGAATTTAACTCGACAATGAATGCAGAATACCACTACAGCAATATCCATGACAGAATCTAACATTAAATTTATCTTAAATAAACAGGTTCCACACAATGATCAAGATATTTTAATTTGTGTTTCTAAACACGAACATTCAATACTAGTTAGGTAATGCTTTTGAGGGCAACAGTTTAATGGAGAAGAAAAGATGAAACAGATCTGCCTTATGCTTGCAACACAAAATTAATTGAGATACCACCTAAAAATAAGGATGCACTATGACTTCTTGAAAAATGACATAATACTTTTGGATCCCTGTGCAGCTTTTTGTCTTGCTTTATCCTTTGCTGTAAGCTTATCAGCTTGCTGAAGAAAAAAAGAAAAATAGAAACATACTTTACGAATCAGTTATGTGAGCCTTACAATTTAAAAAAAAAAAATAGTGGAAACATTGGTGGCAAAGCTAGTCATGTTTGTGTTCATTCCTTTCTCCACTCTAAAGGCGGCATAGGAATAAAAGATAGAACAACAACATCAAAAATTACGACAGGATGAATTAAAAATAATTGCACAAATAACAGTAGGTAGTATGACTTACCTTCTCTGATTTGGATAAATCAAGAGCATCTCCTTTTGATACTTCTGAAACATTTTCATCATCTAGTTTTATCTTTTTGACATCTTTCTGATCTGATGCAGGCACAGACTTTCTTTTGGCACTAGTTGTTTCATCAGGAGGTAACTTAAGATGCTGGTAAAGCTTGGCGCTTAAATCTTCTGAAAGGTACTCCGATATGATGCCATGGGCATACTTCATGAAAGCCTCTGTGAGGGACAGTTGCCAATAATAAGAATCACAGAGGTCATTTTTATTTTAAATACACACAAAGACAAAATTTAGACCACTACCTTTAGAAGCCACAGCATCAGCAGAACTCTTTACAAAAGTGGCTGACAAGGAGCCACCCAACACATGAACATTCTTTGATTTGAGGACTTCAGCCACCTTTTCAGATTTCTTTTCAAGCCATTTCATTAGTTTTTCTTCATTAAACTTATATGCATTAAGATCCTCATCTCCTGATAACAACATCGTTTTAAAACAGAATGCAACATAATTGTGGGATCAAATGAGATTAAGACACTTGTAAATATGTGAAACACAGTACTTAGACAAAGCTGAAGCCTATAAAATTAAAAAACTTTTACCTTACCTTTTCGATCTGCTATGACTGATAAATTTTGCATTCCAGAACATTTCAACAGTCGACTTGTTTCAGGAAATTGTTCATCATGTAGAAGTTGTTCTAGAGGTGCTGTAGCTGTTGCCTTTACAAATACAAGCAGAGATTCATAGATAACAATTTCTAGATCAGAGAGGTAAAAAATCCTCAAACAATCATTATGACTGTCCAAAAACAAGAGGAAAGAACAATAAAAATAAAAATACCTTGGCTAAATAGGGTACAACAAGAAAGAGAGGGTCAAATGGTGTTGAGAGTTGTAGCTTCCCATCCTGTTTCACAGTATCGTCAATGAACCAGGACCTAAAAAAAGAGTCACAAGGATAGTGCCACTAAGGTATAAAAAGATATAAGCAGTATAAGTATAATATAGGTAATGGAAGAGTGAAATACGAACCGTTTATCTTCAGAAAAAGTTATCAATTCTTGCACAGTCTCATTATTAGGACTAAACAAAAACATAGCAGTCTCACCAGAAGCAGGATGACGTAGCTTAACTATGTCCAAAGGACGACCACCCTGATCAACAAGATCTCCTGAGAGGTAGATAGACAGTGTCAAAACGTAATTAGTAGTGAAAAAGAAAGCAATATTGGATCAAACATCTTAACACCTGATGAAAAATCTTACAAGTTTTGTTTGCAAAACATGAAATAATAAACAAACAGTACAGTATCAACATTATTGCTTCAAATTTCTTTACATGTGATTTGCAAAGAAAATCATGGAGAAAATGAGTGATTAATTGTATCTGTCACAAAAGATTAACTGATAGGATGTATAAATAATATTGAAATATGAGTGAAAATTTACCTTTGATAAGAAATAACCATGAGCAGGCAGGGTTGGAGGGATTTCCTGATTTTATACACTTAGAAGGTGATCCCTTAACTCTGGGCATCTTAAACAGCTCTCAAAGCTTAGACCTGGTTGAACGAAAAGTCAAAGAGTTCCAAAGAAGTTCAAATGTTGTTTCTTACTAAATATCATTCAAAGTACGCCTAACCTTTCGAAATCAATACAATGCAGAACACAAACAAAAAAATGAAGCAAACTGACAGGCGCGAAAGCATCTCAATATGAATATGAATGTGTATATGTACATCTGCATCAGCCATCAGTGCCAACCCATAAATGAGCCTGCACCACATTTCTTCAATCAATAATATTTCGAAAATAGTTGTTGTTTTCTATTTTATTTATTCCCGGGATAATCTGTTGTTGCTGCCGGATTCGGTCCGAACCTGTATTATCTTGACTTTTACAAGAGATGCCAAACTGTAACTTCTAGCATTCTGCCAACAGGTTGGCTGCATCTCCCCCCTACTCCGGGAAGGATTGGGGATCAAGCTGGTTAGAAGACGAAAACACAACAACAGGCCGCTTGTTGCATTTTCAGAATTAAGAAAGAATCATAGTTAGGCCTATTGGTGACAACAATAAACAACAACATCATGGTGCTTCCCTCCAACACCTGCAGACTTTGCGCTGAGCTGGTCAATTATTCTATTCCCATTTTTGAAGAAGCAGGGAGGAAAAATAACTTGCCACACAAGCTGAGAATATGCTCACCTGTCACAGTAGGTGTAATTTTTAACCCTGTTTCTCACATTGGAAAACAGCCACTTGGTGATAAACTTGTAATCTTCAACAGCTAAAGAATTTATTAAGAAATAAATTGAATGTATTAATTGACATTTCAGGTTCGAGAGACTGACACCCTGCCCACGAAGGTTTGTTTAGATTGCCTAAGCAATTTAGACCAAGTTTACGAGTTTTACCAAAAGTCCAAGAATGCTCAGCTCACATTGGCCGCTATGATTAAACTTGAAACTTCTGGAGTAAGTTTCAAGATACGTGTTATCTGGGGGTTTACATTAAGTCCCTAACTAAATGTGCCATTGTCCTATGTTCCAGAAAAGAGGTTTTCCAGACTCGAATGATGCCCCAGAAGCCAAAAGAAAACGAGTAGGGACAACTTTTTTCACATTTTCAAATGTAAGTGTTCCTAATATGAATCTCATTTTCATCTGTTAACACATACTGTTGTGGTTAACTACAGTAAGTTTTAGCTTTTTATTATGTTGTGAATCTATTTATTTTCAGGTAGAAAATGTGGCGAAAGAAGATAGTCAAATTTCAGAGGGTAGTAAAAGTTCTGACGATAGTAAAAGTACTGAGGGTCGTAAAAGTACTGACTGTAGTAAAAGTACTGACGGTAGTAAAAGTACTGATGGTGGTAAAAGTACTGACGTTAGTAAAAGTACTGACGTTAGTAAAAGTACTGACGGTTGTAAAAGTACTGACGGCAGTAAAAGCACTGACAGTAGTAAAAGTTTTGATGGGAGTGCAAGTTCTGGCGGAAGCAAAAGTTCCAATTGTTCCAAAAGTTCTGATGGTAGTAAACTTTCAAATAGTTGTAAAATTTCTGATGCTGGTAAAAGTTCTGATGCTGATAAAACTTCTGATGACGGCAAGAGTTCTGATCCTGGAAAAATTTCTGATTGTGGCAAAAGTTCTGACGGTGGTAAGATTTCTGATGCTGGTAAAAGTTCTAACCCTAGTAAAATTTCTGATACTGGTAAAAGTTCTGATGCTGGCAAAAGTGCTATTGCTGGTAAAAGTTTTGATGCTTCATCAGACAAACAGGGTTCTAGTTGTACCAATAGCAAGCAACCACTGAAGAGAGAGCCTCCCTCCCCACTTACAGCTCAAGATAGTGACAGCCAGACCAACATCAAAAAAAGTAAAACTATTCCAGTAGCTGACAAATTATTGACTCAAGAGACAACATCAGTAAAAGTCCAACGCAGGTTTGTGCATTGAATCCTTTATCTGTCAATGGTAACTATGAAAATCATTAAGTTTCCATTAAATCATTGTTTTATATCACAGCTCCACAGAAAGCCCTTTAAAGGAATGCCGTTATTGCAAACAAGAATTTCACGAAGACAAGCTTCATCAACATGAGATACTGCACTCTGGCAGAGCAGTTTATGAATGTTTTGCATGTGAGAAGGCTTTCACCCATAAAGAAGCTTTTGACCGGCATTGTGCAAGGCATAACCGACAGGAAAGTTTACCCACTAATGGAAACTCTGCCACCTCTGCCAACGGCACAAGTACATAACTACCTTATAAGACTCCTGACATAATTTCTACTTAATATGTTGATGGTTTTGCTTCTTATTTAGTAAATTAGGCGAGTGATTTGAAATCTTTTAAGCAGCAGCCCTCAATTATGGCCTGCACACAACTTCTTTTTAAATACTATGTGTCTTCAGTTTATCCCTTAACAACATTGCATTTTCAATTTTCAAATAAAATTATTTTATGTACCCTAGTTAGGTACTCTTAAATGAGGCAGTAGAGAGTATGTATGTATTACAACAATAAAATGGTGTACATGTTGGTATACTTTTCACCTTTTCATAATAGGATGCTCAATTCTTTTGTCATGCTTCAGCTGACTTCAAATCCCTCTAGTCCCTTCCCTACCCACATCGACAGCTTTCAAAAATGAAACGGGAATAAAATACATTGAAGAATGCAATTTTGTGATTTAGTATTGCCTTTATTTTATGAATTTTGCCCTTGTTTTCTGAAATTCATAAATTGAGTCTTAGAACTAAAACTTCACAATCTTTGCATAAAACTACATTTGCACTGTATCAAGCAATAAAAATTATATATATAATCAAGAATTTTATTATAAGAATAGATATATACTTAAAGGGCACTGGTGATCAACAAGATAAAACTATGAGAGTAAAAATATGAGTTATGTAGCTATGTGACTTCATAACAAAATGGTACAGTATTAATAGATCACATTATTTTTTGCATGCCACATGCATGAAACAGATAACCTTTACACGTGGTATATCAGTTTAAAAAATAAACTGTAAAACAGTTCTTAGATTATCTTCAAAGCTAAAATAAATTACAGACTATTCAACAATTTCATAATTGACTTTATAATAAAAAACAGTTCACAAATATACAACATTCTTTACACACAAGTACTGTATGTAATTTTATATTAACAATGACTCAGAAGACTAGTAACAAAAATAATTGCAATCTATTTTGTCTATTTTCCTCTCACAATGATCAGATTTCTTAGGTATATATTTCCGGAATGCTTTTCTTACTTTTCCTTCTGAAACAGTCAGCTACTTATCCACATTTAAAACTTTTCAAATGACTGATGTGTATTATCACCAGGATTGTTAAATAATCTGAAGCAAATGTGAACTACATGTGGATTAGCAATAGATTAAAGAAAAGCTCTTCAGAATAAAAAATATTGCCAACCTTTTTCTTTTCTGTCCTCTTTTTTGTTTTGATTCTTGACTATCACAATCATTTGGGACACAACCATCTACAATACTGTCTCACCGAAAAATATTATCAAAGTCAAGTAGGAATGCCTCTATAACAAGGTTCTGTTGCATTAGGTCTAATGCCATGTTTAATGATTCCTGCTCTGGCCACATAAGTGTTGGTCCAAACACTATTGCCAAATTAGGAATGTGCATACGGTTAAATTCCTGGTATCCTGTAACCCTGAAAAAACAAGAAGAAGTGTAACAAATTACAAAAGCATCTTCATAATGCATAATTCCTAATAGCATGTACTTTGTTTACTTACTTCAGAAGGTGTTTCAGTAACATTTTTAGTGTGTCATGATTAGCAGTAGGAAGTGATTTAACAATTTCTCTAAATTGAGCAAGTTTCTCCTTCTTATTTTGAAGAGCTGCAAAAAGAAAATAAATAGCTACAGATGTGCTTGTAGTTTTAACCATTGAGGAGTCTCTAAATAATTTGACACATACTACTTGCTTTGATGGCTTTACTGAAAGCAGCATATGGAATGAGAGGCTCTTTTAACTCCCGGAAAAATAATTTAAGAGCTCCCGTCAAGACGTGAACATCTTCTTCTTGATCCAAGGCTGATAGATTATTTTGATCAACCTGGATGGAAAAACCCCAGATTCAAGTTGAAATTTACATGGAAATTCCATGAAATTGAAAAAGAGAGACATTTGGAAGACTCAAAAACATACCTGAAGTCGAATTTTTTGCACTTGAGATAGATTTCCAGACACTCTGTACAGACCGTCAGTCTTCATATTTTCTTCAATGCTCTCAATGACAGCAATGCATCGTTGTACAAACATTGGAACTTTGGGTGTTTCGCTGCCACACACTTGTTCAAGATAACTGCCAAATGCTGGTTCATCTATCAAAATTAGAGAGCACCAATGCAATATCAGTCAATATTAAGTTTGCAAATTAATTGATTCAAAAAAGATAAATCACCTTTCCAAATTCCTTTTTTTACTAAAAACTCCATTGTTGGTCGGCGATTAAAAAATTTTTTAAGACGGGCTCTGATTTTTGTTTGGCGTTCTGCTACACTCACTGTTAAGTCTTCAATGCTACCATCTTTGTTTTTAACTGCGGATAAAAACAGATGATGAGAGAGTTAGATGAATAAGAATATAGTATGATTGCAACAATATGATTCAAAGACATAAACAGAAGATGTATGAAATACACAACAGCCCTTTGGATGGAGTATCTGGATGAAACTACCTGTGCTATCTGTATACCACTTTGTTGCCCTATCACTGCAACCTGCTGATGTGACGACATATGACCCAGAAGTACTGAACGAAATATGATCTTTGATTGCATTTAAAACACTGAAGGTCTGCACCTCTCTCTCATCACTATACATGATACTAAGATGAAACACAGGACGGAACAGAAACAGACACAACCTCACAGTTTGCAGTAAAAGAGGAGGTGGGCAGATGGTTCTCTTAGATAAGCCTTATCAGTAACCAGCAAAATAAAAATGCAGGTGCTCAGTTTCCATTTCCTGTTTTATAAAGCAGCATTTTAACTATTGCCCTCAGAAGCAAGACAATTACAACACGCAAAATGAAATACTAAAATTTTAAACCTATCAATTTAATTTAATCCATTTAACAATAAGAGGAAGAAAATATTTAAAATACCTTTCCAGCTCTGCCGCCATGGCAAACTCATGTTGTTGGTTCCACAGTAGGACAATGTTGCCAGCAGGCTGTAGCCCTCTGCTTCACTTTGAGTCCCTGCACCAATTACCCACTTCCCCATCACTCCCTCTACTATAGGCAGTCATGCTGCAATCTCTACCCTTCTCCCCCCACCAGCTTTTCCATCAATTCTACACATCAAGAGAGAGAGAAAGAGAAAGAGGAGGGAAGGCGGGAGGGGGGTCCCCTCTTTTGCATATTATCACAACCCTGCACAGATCCTGATGAATAAGAACAACTTTACAGATCTTAATAATAAAAGGTTAATACTTACTTTTGACCGATTTGGAACGGCCAATACGAGGAAACTTCTTGGTTTGTTCAGGTGAATGTGATTCAGCAAACAAACGATCCATTTCTTTAGTTACCTTTAATCGTGGACAACTATCAAATCCTGAAGGCTAATTAAAGCAAAAGAGAAAAAAAGGTGTTAGTTTCTTTGGCATATAATTATAAAGATGAGATGTATACATGCTTTTTACCTACCAAATTATGAATTGCAGTGTGAACTGCATTAAACCACTCTTCTGCCTGTTGACTACAGTCACACTGGAATAGAACTTGCAAACCCAAAACTGTGCTTACTAAAAACACATTTTTTCTACTTGTGACCGAGGCCTTATCACCACGGTCGACCTGATCGATGAGGGCTCCATTTAGATCCACACACAATTCTGGTCTTGGCCCACCAATACCTTGATTTGAAGATTTCTGTGTAATAAGATGAATGGATGAATAAAAATAACACTTTAAACTGTGAAATATTTCCTTGGCATCAAAAGAAATTTGGAAAACAAAACATACCATAGCAGCGAATGCTTTAACATCCCGGAATAACAGAAGAAATAGTTCAGTTAACACAACATGGCTCGAGGCCCAGTTCTTGCGTAATTTTTTCCCATTTTCAGTAATTTTTGTCCGGTACATTGGGCCTTCTTTCAGAACACACTAAAATCAATAGAAAACAGTAAAATTTAACAATGAAAGTGAATCTAAGCAAAAAGCTAATATTATTTCAAAATAAATTATATATAAATATATTTATATTTAGAAAAAGATTTATACCATATCACCATCATCAAGAAGTTTAGGCCAATTTCGGGGCGAAGGAATATTTTTTATATCTTTATTAACACTAGAAGGAGAGTAAATAATTAGTTTCTGCATTAGAGTATATTGTTACATGAGAAAGGTATCACAGATTACTAACTTACCCGCTGTCAACTATGACCATGGATCGTGACTTAGTTGTTCGTAGTGACAACTTTTCTTGCTTCTCACTTCTTTCTGGTTTGACATGCCTATCTCTCTCATCATCTCTTGGAGTTGAAGATAAAACAGGATCGTCAACTTGCCGGCAACCCTCATCTTCAAAAGTTGATTCCTTTTAAATGTTACAGGCAACTGAATCAGCAAACATGGAAACATAATAATAATTCAGTAATAAAGAGAAAATAAAATACCTGGGTGACAGAAGAATTAACATCAGGAAGGATCCAAGAAGATTCACAACTATTTTCTTCAAAGAAGTACACTCGCCCCTTATTGTCAGTAGAAGAAAACCACTGTAACAAAAGATATAAAAGGAATGCTTTTACATTGAGGGCAAGTACACAAAAAGATATGTTTCATTAGAGGAGCAATGGTTCAAAAGTAAATGAACTAATTCACTTAAAATTTAACTTTTCTGTTTCTTTTACTATGGGTAGAACAAAGGTGATAGAAGATCCTGCCGTAGTTAGCACATAAGAAAATCAAGTCTTATGGTAATTGGAAAAAAGTCAAGATCTACCTCACCCAACTCAATTCAATCTTGATCAGAACTGTAACTATCGATTTTAAACAAAACAGTAACAAGCATTCTAGAACATTTGTATTTTATGATGGGATCATCATTTTCATGCCACAACCATGCTCAGCATAGACTGCTACACCACACGGGGGGGACATTTGGCAGCTGGTGTAGGAGTGAATACTATAAGAAGTGCACAACGAGATCAGGTGGGCAATGCGCACGGACTGGGGAAAGTGACGCACTTGCATTACCTGCTTGGTCTCCAGACAGCTGAGGGCGTCACCCTCGGCGTCCTCGCCGTCGGACAACCCCGCCCACAGTAGGTCCCCCTGCCAAGCCACGACATCGCTGGACACGCTGCTCTTGCGCCGCCCCCGCCCACACTCCACTTCTGGGCTGCAGCCCTCGGGTTCCGCTTCGACGAAGGGGACGGGACGATCGTCGGGGTGGTCACCGCGAGGTACATAGGCGTCAGGGGCAAGGACGAGACCCCGCTGGGCCCGAGGGCTCGGTGGTGAGCGCAACTCGGGCGACGACGCGAACAATGCCAGGGCGGGCTCCGGCTGCTGGTCGGGATCCACATGCTGCCGGACCGCCTGGTCCGCCGCCGACACGCTGCGGCTGCGCTTGAGCTGTGTGCGCTCGCTGGCCCGCGTCATGAGGAGCAGCTCGCTGGCCAGACAGCGCACCGCACCCCGCTCCGCCACGGCACCGGACTCGCTGAGCCTGCGTTCTAGTCGTTGCCGGAGCGGTGGCTCTGGAGTCGACTCTGGAGCAGAATCTGGGGCGGACTCTGGGGCGGACTCTGGGGCGGACTCTGGGGCGGACTCTGGGGCAGACTCTGGGGCAGACTCTGGAGCAAACTCTGGAGCCAGCTGCCGCTCCCGCGTACGCTGGTTGGCCAGTGCTTTCCGTCGTTTCCGAGCTGGGGGTTGCGGGGGCTCCGGTCCGCCGTGGTCGAAGATGGAGTTGATGTCGAACTTTGGACGGGGCGGAGCAATGTCCGGGGCGAGGTCCGCGGTGGTGACGGGGCAGGGGCAGGGGCCGGGCACAAGGGCCCCGGTGCTGCCAGGGTCCGTGGTAGGGTACAGGCATGTCTCTACGAGCCGGTTAGCTTCCGAGCACAAGGCAAGGAACTCGTCGTCAAAGACCAGGTCGTCGTCCACGCTACCGCTCTGGCTTAGCGTGCGGTCCAAGTCCTCTTCCTCCTCCATCAGGTCCCTGCACAGCGCCTCCGCGCTCTCCAGCGCCTCTGCGCAGGCCGTGGACGTTGAGAAGGTCGACACGCAGGGGCTGCCAGTGGCGGGCGTCAGCGTTGGGGAGGACGACGGCGTGGGGGAGCTGGGCAGGAGTTGGGGCGCACTGCTGGTCCGCCGCAATGCTGCCGGGGAGGTGGAGGTGGACGCCGTCGCCAAGGTGCCGGCCGACACGGTGCGGCGGGGCGGTGGCACCGAGCGTGCTTGAGGAGGGGGAGGGGACTCAATCCAGCCCATCGCCTGCAGCACCGTCACCGACTCCTCTTCGTCCCCCTCTTCCTCGTCCTGCGTCAGGTCGTCCTCGTCCTCCTCCAGGACGGCGGGGAGCGCTCGGCACTCGCCGCCGCTCAGCCGGGCCAGCATGTCGTCCTCGCGGTGCGGCGGCGGGGGCAGGGGCTTCGAGACGTGCACGGCGTGCACGAGCACCTCCTCCTCCAGGCTATCCACGCTGCGGTCCGAGTCGTCGTCCGAGTCTTCGTTGCCTTGCCTCGGCGCATCCATGGCGGGGCCCTCCACGGACAGGTCCTCCAGGGTGGAGGAGCGGAGCAGCGGCGGAGGGTCGGCCCAGGGCAGCGCGGGCAGGCCCAGCCCCTCGCGCAGCTCCAGCAGCCAGAGCGCCACGTCCGGCGGCAGCCCGCTGAGCCCGCTGAGCCCGCGCCCGTCAGGCTGCCCCGGCGGCGCCACCTCCATGCCCCGCCACCCCCGCGGCCAGAAGCAACAGGTGCTCCGTCCACATCAGCTGGGTCCTGCGCGGGAAGAGAGTGAGTCTGGGTCTCCGGGAGGGTCGCGGGCGCAGCCTCAACCCCAACCCACCCCTACACGGCCGCAAGTTGTTTCTTTAGGGACATGGGCAGGAGAGTGAGGATGAACCAATCGCCAGCGGCGTCCGCTCTGGCTCCGACATCGACCAGGCCCGAGACTGAATCAGTGCGAACGGCCGGGCCGGATATGGATGGAGCCGGCGGCGGGCCGGCCTTGACCAGGACACCTCATACACACTGACGCTGTGACGCTGTCCATCCTGCCCCAGCGGACTAGCCTTCTCGTACCCCCCCCCCTCCCCCCCTATCCAGTTGTGCAATATCCGAACACCACGAACAAGCAGTCTTAATGCCTAATGAAACGAAGCTGCCCCGTGTCGCCTGCCTGTGCACTCGTTTTGGGGCGCGGTGGCGCCAGGGTGGCTGACGGAGGCGCGTATCTGAAAAGACGGAGTAGTAGGCCAGTCAGGAGGAGCTGACCCGACCCAGGCGCTCAGCCGGTCCCCGTCCCCGACGAGCGAGTCACCGCTGAGATTATCGGCCGCGTGCGCTGTTGCGGTAAACAGACGCCGACGCTGACATGAGACACGTGGGGAAAGGGAAGTGGGGGGGGGGGGTTACCCACAGAGAACGCTGCACCACGGCTGCACCTCCGGCCTCTAGCGCCGCGACGAGGCTTCGGAGGATGGCCAAGAACGGCGAGGCCGTGGCATGTCGCTGACCAGACAAGCAGGCAGGGCCTGATTTAAAACCTTCTCCAGCGAGGCCGTGGCCGTCTGACCGCGAAAAGCCATCGATCAGCGCCCAGCAAAACTGCACCCGCTCCGCCGCAACCAGCCGCGCCCGTGGCCGCGGCCAACGCCTAGACCGACCCGGGCCACGGCCACGCCCGCAGCCAGGCGTGGCCAGGCCAACCCCGCGCGGCGGCCCAGAGGGGAGCCCAAAGGGGAGCCCAAAGGGGAGCCCAAAGGGGAGCCCAAAGGGGAGCCCAAAGGGGAGCCCAAAAGGGGAGCCCAAAAGGGGAGCCCAAAGGGGGAGCCCAAACGGGGAGCCCAAAGGGGGAGCCCAAAGGGGGAGCCCACAGGAGGAGCCCACAGGAGGAGTCCACAGGAGGAGTCCACAGGAGGAGTCCACAGAAGGAGCTCACAGAAGGAGCCTACAGGGGGAGCTTACAGGGGGAGCCCACAGGGGGAGCCCACAGGGGGGAGCTCAACGGGGAGCTCAAAGGGAAGTCCAAACGGGAGTCCAAAGGGGAGCCCTAGGGTGGTGC